CTGCATTAATGCAAAGCATTGAATTTATTTAATATTCGCACTTTCACAAAAAATTTTAAAGTAGGAACTTATTTATTGTCCAGTAAAAACCTGCTTCATTCGGTTGAATCCCCGTATTCATAACTTTATGACCGTATGTAGGGTGCTTTACCAGTGAAAGTACATTAATCACTCCGAAACAATTAAAATTATTTAATGACCGCACTTTCTTCAAAGAAATTGAAATCTCAACTCAAAGTAAGAAATTAAAATAAATTCGATTTTATAAAATTTGTAACAAAAATCAAAAGAAACTGAAAAAAATTATAAAAATCAGCTTTCAAGAGAAATCCAAAAAAAAAAACAAATTAATTTTTATCAACGCCAATAACTTTAAAGCCAAGCAAAACAAATCATCGCAGCCATAAATCGGAAATCAAAAATGAACATAAAATTAAATGAAAAGACAGACAGTGCAGGTGCCGAAACACTGCAGAGGAAAGAAGAGGAGAGAAGAAATCCAAACCATATGACAAGCGAAGACGTGACACAGACAACGTTTGCAAAAATCCGCCAAATGTGCAACAGAATTTCTTTTGCAAATCACAACAAAAAATTTATTATGAAAAATGTAACACAACCGTCACACACACACCACACTCCCCTCTACCCGCTACTCAACATGCATTTGTGCACAAAACGACAAACGACAAACAAGAAATCATGATTTGTGCTGCATTCAACGAACTTGACGCTACGCTCTGCCAGACATGCATGCAATCCATACCAAAATTGTGCAAATCACGTGCAGCCGCGAACCCGAAATCGGCTAAGCAAGCAGTGACGTAATGAGTCACGAACCTTGTGAAACTAAATGCCATGCCATTGCGAAGCGAAGCCATTACGGTATTCCCTACAATCAAACGAGCTTCGCAGAGTTGTTCGTGCACTTTGCTCGCCGGCTGTGATTCATCGCTGCGCTTTTGTGCGAAGACTCAATTTCAGTCGCTGCTCTGCTGTGTTGTCGTCATTGTTGCTAGCGAACTGCGATGTTGCGATGAATAAAATGAAATATAAACGCGAAATGATGAAAGTGTGGCGCTTATGGGAGCATATGTGTGTGTGTATGTGTGTGTTTGTAAATTCGTTTGTGTGTTTGCTTTGCTGTTGAGAATCTTGCCAAAGCAAGATTACTTCATTAGCAACAATGAATGCCTCTCGTCTTTTGTTGCTGAGATAAATATTTGGATTTCACTGTAAACATTATTCTGTAATGTTTATTTCTCAGGAATTTATTTTTTTTTCATTATTTATTTTTATATTTTTCTTGTTTTTTTTTTTTTTGTTAACATTTTTCTGATTTATGTTTTTGTTACAAATTTAATTTCCAGTTGCAACACAGGAAGCAACTGTTCGCTACACGTGAGCTGCAGTTGCAGCTGCAATGTTTCCTTTTCTTTATTTGCGGTGCGTATGCAGTGCTTCTTTTCGTAGGCAAAAGTTATGCTTTGTTGTTTCGTTGCAACTCAGACTTTCTTTTGTTTCTCGGGATTAACGTCAGTCTGCGTTCAGACGTCCACAGAATCATGTGCAGATGCGCGTGTTTCTGATTGACTGATTGCGTGTATTGTTTCCAAAAATATTTAAAAATGATGCCAAATACCGTAGAGCGGACTTAATTGTATAAATGAAGCACTGAAATGATTTTTTTTTTTTGCAAATACTATTTATACAGGGTTATACATATTGTGACGAAACACGACAAAATTGACAGGAATAAGAAAAACTATCGTCAGATATTTCTTACAGAACAAGTAGTTTAGTTTCGTTAGTTGGGTAGTTTGCGTCTGGAGATTCGAGTTCGAGTTTGTGTTAAAGTCGAACTCGAATTTTTATTGACAATCCAGTGAGACGAACGAAAGAATCAATACTGAATTGCAAAAGACAAATCCGTAACAATATGTATGCATTGTAAACATATAATCCTTATCATTGGCAGACAGATTTTAATAAATTTTATCGATTTTCCACTAAGCTATATATCGATATTTCGATAACCAAGCCACGTAAAACACGTAAATGATAAATATGTATATATAGATATGTAAATATATATATGGAAGAAGGTACTTAGAATAGTTTTTTTTACTAAAATCATTAAATCGGACATTAAAACTGCTTTTATTACAAGCTCGACTTACTAATATATAATTCAGTAGTTTGCAAAATGGAACGTACACTCCACAACCGGGGAATTTGCTGTATAAAAAGAAAAATTTGACTGTTAGAGAGGAAAATTTTTTAAAATTGGTTTAAAAGTGCACCATTTTTGTAATGAAATAGCAGACTCCATAACAAAGAAGGGCCGATGTACTCCTTTCATTAGTCCAAAGCTCTTCTGCGGGGCAACAAATAGCTTTACAAAGAACTTAATATGGAAACGAGACAAACGAAATCTACTTGAACACTTGAGAGTCCAAACAGGCATGCGGCAGTCAAGAAGATTCATTGATGCTAAATATTTCAAAGTTGACGCTATCCTTAACCTTAGCAAAAACGATATTAAAATCTACACTGAAATTCTTACAGGACACTGTAGACTCAATCACCACAAAAAGATTATAGGTGTGGTAAATACTTCCTATTGACTTTATCATACGGAAAAGGAAACATCAGAACATATTCTATGCAACTGACCAGCGGCGGCAAGACGTAAAATTGATTAACTTAGAAACGAGATCTTAGTTCCATATCAAATAGGTAAAATTAATCCCACAGCAATTACGAGACTTATAAATAATCTAAAATTGTGTCAGTTGGGTCTTTAGGCTCACAATAGATATTTTAGATCGTGGTGCTTAATAATAATAATCTAGCTTAATGATAATTGAGAACGTCAGCTTAACCCTCAATGATATCATAGAAGGCTCGTATCCCTTGACAAATATCTGGCAATAACGAACTTTTTTAAGAAAAGAATTATTTCTCTATAAAATTAAATTTTTCAAAATTAGCAGCTATCGTCTTTAAATATCTAAGATTTTTTTTAAATCAATTGGTTTGGGGATATTAGGTAAGTCCCGCAATAAGTCGCAACGGGTGTGTCTCACAAGAATGACATACTACTTTTTTTTCTTTGTCCTCGCCTCTCTCTCTTTCGCTCTTACCATTTTTTCTTTTACATATAGTTAATCAGTAATTATAAGGATTGGAGCATAAGAGTCACTATGCTACAATTCTTTATAAAGTAAATTAAAATAATCATAAACTTTGTGATCCCCACTAAAAACAAAAATATCATAGTAGTCCTCAGTCAAAAAAAGGTTGGGAAGGACTAGTCTATACAATTAATAGTTCGAGAAACTAGCAGAGTTGCGAACAGTAAATTTTAAACCTATGAATTTGTTATTGAATTTAATAATAATTTAGCCAGAACCGATTGAAAAATCTCTCTATGATATTACAAGAAGCTTCTCACCTATGTAAGTAAGTAACTTTCATATTTTTATAAACAAATAATAAGAATAACAATAATAATAGTATGCTTTTTCTCTTAAATTTCTCTCTCCATAATTTTTTTCTCTCTCTTCCCTTTCCTCTCTTTTCTTCCCTCTCTCTACCTACTTTTCTCTCTTTTCCTCTCCCTCCCTTCCTCTCTCTCACTTCCTCCCACTCTCTCTGACCCTTTTCATCACTCCCTTCCTATCTCTCTCTCTTTTTTTCAGGCATTTGTAACCGTCTAAAGAGCATGGGAGAATAATTAACTCTTTATTATACCATTATACGGCCACCTACGCAACTTACAGTTCGAAAAATTAACAGATCTAGAACAGCCAATTTATAAGTAGTTTGGCAGCTGTGATTAAATGGGTACATTAAGTCCCACAATAAAATGACATTGCCCATGTTGATCCTATGGCAAACGTGAGTACTAAAACTTCCATAGCTACAAATTGAAATTATAATCATAATAAAAGCACGGTTGCCACTTGAAAATTTTTTTCTGTACCAAAATTGGTTTAAAAAGGTACCATTTCTGTAAAAAAAGGTCCAAAATTTTTCTATTGTCTTTTTATAAGAAAATACAATTTATATAAAATGTACAAAAAGTATAAAACAATACAATACATTTTGGGTCGCCGAAAATGTACCATTTTTTGAACATGAGTACCAGAGTACCAAACGGAAAAAAAAGTACCAATTTTGGTACTAAAGTACCATAAGTGGCAACCGTGAATAAAAGTATCTTCCTCACTCTCTTTATTTTTCTCTGCAGTCATCGAACAGTAATTCAAATTTTATATAGCGAGTATATGTAATTTATTCAAAAATATATATTTTATTTAACATCCCAATCTGGTTAAATTGTTTATATTTTATAAACAGCAGCAATGTTTATATAAATTTTGCAATAAACGTTTAAATCTCAAAGCGATTGCATCACCTCAATCCAACAACAAATAAACAACAAATCCAATCATTTCTAGGCATAGCAACCCACCTTTACAGTATGAACACGATAAACTTGCATTTGAGGCATCCATTTGGATGCACGTTGCCATAATGAATACCTGCAAGTAACAGACACATTTCCGCTACTCACTATTCAAGCCGTTAGTTGGGAAATAAACAAATTCGCCTTTTAACAACAAAAAAAAAAACATATAAGAAAAAAAAAGAAAATCCCCATTTACTATGTTAAAATTATTTCTCTTCTTTTTTCCACCAAACTGACAAAGGTCACCTTGACGAGCGCGTACACTTCAGCATGGAATCAGCAACCAGCAAAGTCACTTCTACTGCCGCCGCAAACCAAAACAAAAGTTCCAAGAAAACGACAAAAAAAAGCTCTTTCGTATGCTTAACCGAAAATTTCGTCACTCATCCTGAATGTTTGGCTTACTAACTGACGTTGCCTCTGCACCCGAGCGCGCCAATATCGTTGGCAACGCACGTTCTAACTGTGAATCGCCGCTGAACTTGGCCATTATTCGTATAAATCGCTGTCGCACACTCAATTCGCTCGCAGTTTTGTGAAAATCCAGCAAACGCAATTCAGTTTTGCTTTCAAAAATTCATTTCAGTTCGCAACGAAGCGAGAAAGTGAACAGACGTTGTTTCAATTGCTCATCGCAGTTAACGTTGGGCAGTGTAAAGTGAAAGATTGAAAAAAATAAATAAGAAATTATTTTGTGAAACTTTTTAGTGTGCAACTCAACCAAAAAAAGTAAGCATAAGTGTTTATTTATATTAAAAACAATATACAAACTATATTAGCCAAAATATTTAGGTCTATATATGCTAAATATATACAAAGTTCTGGAGCATGTATCTGTTAGATACTTTTTAGTTTACTAGTGTTAATTTCTCTACATTGCTATTAATTTTTAATTAAGTGCATTAATAATTACTACGATATCCATCATCATATCATGTGTTTGTTTGTGTATGTGTGTGTGTGTTTTATGATTTTTTTAATTAATATTATAATGAATTTTTTTTAATTTTAAGTTTAAATAATGACAAAATAGTTTGACTTTATTAAGTGCACAATTGACTTTGAAAATTATTTCGTCATACTCCAGTGAGTTGAATTCATTTGTGGCATAAATTAAATAAATGACACACAAACTATTTTTGTCATTCAACCATTATTTATTTTATGTGTTTTAAATTAAAAAAAAAATATAAAATTTATTTAAAATAATTTAAATTTAATTAAATTGCATTTTAAATTTTATTTTTAATTATTTAAAATAAATTAAATACACTTGCGAAGTGCTTTTGCCTGCAGCAATTCATTTTTAGTTGTCTTTTTTTGCTGTTGTTGTTTTTTTCTTATTTTTCACCAAAAAAGTGCATTCACCTCTGTTAGTTCTTTGACCACAGCCACGACCAAGTTACCAGCTTTATTCTTGTGTCCCTGCTATTATGCCAAAGCACACCCAAGCAAACATTTGCTTTATTTTTATTCAGTTTTTTTTTTGTTTTTCTTGTTTCTCTTTTTTTTGATCTTTTTAAGTGAATTTTTGTGTTCCTGGCGCAAAACTTGCACTTTTTATGCGGACATGCGCTCTGTGTGTTTGTATCGTAAATTTCCTTACCCGAAGCAGCTGTTTTGTCACACTTGTCTGTTCTACAAATGCTATTTGCTATGTGCTATGTGCTATGTTTGCTTTGCTGCCAAGTGGTTCAGGGAAGACAGGGAAGTGAGGTAATTCCATAATCAACATGTTTTGTGTATTTGACTTTGAAATTATTTTTTGAAGGACGAACATTTTTTTCGCGCTCTCCTTTTGTGCTCTCAATTTCTGTGCGTTTTCATGAGGCAAGATTTGACTAGGATAATGAAATTATTAGTGGGCGCGTATTTCTGTGTTATGCGCTGGATGGAGTCTTTATGGCCATTAGCAAGCATGAAATATTATATTTTCGTAATAATTTAGGCTTGGATATTTTTAGATGTGACATATATTTCAGATATAGAAGTTCTTTCATTTTATTGCTCGAGAGAAAATTTATTCGTAAATTTGTAGAAAAAATTTTCAAGACTGAAATTTATAGTTTCATTAGATTATTTATTTCTAGCAATAGAAAAAATACTATAAAAAAATAATACTTAAAAATAGTTTATAAAAATGATGTATAAAAATAAGATCATATATAAAAATAATATATAAAAATAATATTTAAAAGTAATATATAGAAGTATTTCTAAAATACTTCTGAAATAATAAAAATAAAAATACTGTTTAAAAATGATATATAAAAGTAATATAGAGAAATATAATAAAATAATAAAAAAAAATACTATTTAAAAATACTATATAAAAGTAATTAAATTCGATTTTGACGTCAATATGACAGTAGTATCTATTTTTACTTGATAGAAACTGTGGTATTTATTAGAGAAGTTTAAAAAAATAGGGAACTACAACAACAAAAATTTTTGTGTTATTTTAATTAATTGACTATTTTTACGGAATAGAAACTATGATATTTAATGGAGACGTTTCGAAAAGTCATGAATTACAACAACAAAAATTATTTTCATATTATTTTAATTAATTAACTATTTTTACTTAATAGAAACTGTTGTATTTAATAGAGAAGTTTCAAAAATAGGAAACTACAACAACAAAAATTTTTTTATTTTAATTAATTGACTATTTTCACTGAATAGAAACTATTTAATAGAGAGATTTCGAAAAGTCGTGAACTACAACAATAAATGTTCTTTTTATATTATTTTAATTAATTGACTATTTTTACTGAATAGAAACTATGGTATTTAATAGAGGGATTTCGAAAAGTCATGGATTACAATAATACAATCCAATTCTTTTTATATTATTTTAATTAATTGTGATTTTTGACTGACCATACAGCTGTTTTGAATATTGACAAATATACACCATCAATAGACTTGGAATTATTTTTTATATTTAATATGGTCAATCAAAAAATCAATTAATTAAAATAATATCATAAAAATGTTTGTAGTTGTAGTTCACTACTTTACAAAACCTCTGTAAATAATTAATATATAAAACTACTGCATATAAATAATATATAACAATATATAAAAAAAAATTGAAATAAAACAAATAAAATAAAAATGTGAATTAAATTAAAAATAATGAGAAGTAAAAATGAAGCGATTTATTAATAAGAGAAGCTTTATTTGATAAACGAAAAAAAAATAATATTTCTACATAATATAATATATATATTTATATCATGCATATATAATATATACACATACATACATACATATTTGCATATAGCAGCATATGTAATATACATATATAATTAATCATATTTTATGACTACGCTCTAAATTATATATATTAAGAAAATTGAAAGACATTTATATTATAATAGAATTTATAAAAATCATTAATTTTTTTTATAGATTTTATTAATTTGCTTACGGAAGTACATAGAGTACATCTATTGCAAATTTACAATTCACGTTTTCTAATATCTCTGATTTGCGTTGTATAAAATTAATTTGTTCTAATGACGAATTATCTATACTATTGAAAATATTTCCTGATTAAGCAATCAATAATCAGAGTTCAATTTCTAAAAATATTTTTATGTAGATTAGGGTCTGACAAGCACGTGCGCAAGAGGTCGTAACTCAATAAAATTGCCAAAGCTGCATACAATACAACAAAGTTCAAAATTTTGACAGTTAAAATATATATATAGTAACTTTATTCAGAAACTTATAAGCTTAACTAAATTTCTCCTTCCAATTTTATTTTTTTTTTTTCTATAACTCATCAGTTTAAGGAAATTGAGTTGAGAAACACAAGCAATGCAAATGCAAAAACTATGTACATGAAACAGCGATATTAACAACAATGTTGTTAAGGTTGATTGACGTTGTTGATTAGGGTTTTTTTTTTAATTTGATTTTTAGAGTCAAGTCTTTAAAATTTTTAAAGAGTTGTTTTGAACAGTAGTACATTACAACAACAAAATTTTATTATTAATTAATACATTGAAGTTTTGACTGGCCATACAGCTGTATCTAGTATTACCTAACATTAGAGAACTTTTAAAAATATCTTATTTTGTTTATTGTTTTTATTTCAATTTTTTAATTATATTAATTTATGAAATCCTTTTATGCTTAAAAATATTATCAATATTTTAAAATAATGTTCATTATTATTATAATGTTTATTATAATCAATTTGTTGTACATATATTCGTACTAATCTATACATTATTTTTTCTGTTTTGAAAAAAATTATTTCCTACTCAAATTAACAAAGCATGAAAGCAATTTTCGTTCAACTAATTTGAAAATAATTACCTGAAATTAGTGATGACTTTCAAATAAAAATCAATCTGACTAAATAGATTATATAGAGTAAGTGTCATCATAGGAATAACTTCAATTACTACTAGTACAACCTGCTAGAACCCAGGTTTTAATATACGTTTTCGCTGTGAATATTGAAGCTGTAGGAAATTATTCTTTTAATTTTACTCGGAGTAGGATGGTTTTAAAAATTTATATTTATATTTTGATATTCACTTACAAGGAGGTCTAACCTTTCTTCTTGCTATAGAAAATAAATTTCTATATTAGTCATTGGGGAAGTTATATTGTTAATATATGTTATAGTTAAATAATTTATATATATACTGTATATTATATTATAGATTATATATTATTAAATGTTAGTTAATATTGTTATGTTAATTTTTTTTCTCCTTTTTCTCTTTATTCCTGAAGAAATATTGGTCTTTAACGAGTTCTTTCGTTTAGATTTGGTTATAAACAAAAATGACTGTGTCATCTCATGTTGGACCATAGTTTTATGTCTGTTGTTGTTGTTGTAACTTGTTTTGGGAATACTGAACGGCAATGGTTCGTCGAAATTGACGAGTGGCTCTGGGACATAGATCTGGTCACTCATGGAGTCCTTATAATTTATCACGAACAATGCGTTGTTTAGGTTTCTTTGTTGCCTTGATCCGTATGGACTTCAATTCGATTCTATTTTTTTTTTTTGCTTCGAATTTCTTTTCTTCGAATATTACTTTTTTTTTAAAGTTTCTGTTTTTCGTTTGCTGATCCCATATCTCACGAAATTATCCTTTTTCCTTGACATATTGTAATTGTAATTTTGTCCTTATATAGTAATCAATAACTATAAACTATGGAAGATTATTAAAGACTAATATAAGATTACATTCGTAAAAAAAAGTTTTTTACCGATATGGGTTAAGTTATTTAGTATATATTTAGTATTAATTGGTTGGATTTTTATTATTATATTTATGTACATATATCATATAGGTTTACATTATATTTTATCTTGAATTTGCTTAACGATAACATTGCAAATAAAAATTAAAATTGTAGTTATTAAGAATTTATAAATATAAATTTTTCTTACTAATTCTGGAAAACCACATTGCTTTGATGTCTCATCATATGTCAGTGGCGTATACAAAGATAAATTTTAGGGTTTAAGCCTTCCCTAAAATATTCCATACTATTAAATGCCAAATATAGAAAATTTTTTTAATTAAATGTTTTTATATAAACTTTACTCTATTTTGTTTTCTAAAATCCCTAATCGCCTGAAATAAGTCATTGTATACGCCGCTCTTAATATTAGTGTTTAAAAAAAAAAAAAGTTAATAAACAAATGTAAACAAATGCTATGGCAATGAAAACTGACATTTGCGATAATATAT